GGGGGGAGAGAGAGAGAGAGAGAGGAGACGCCTTCTTGGCTGGCGCTCTGGCCCTCTTTGGCCAGAGAGGTAAGTCCACCTGCAGCCTAGCCTGAACCCTTTGCAATGACAGATGTTTTCTGTCTACCAGACAAGGGATGCCTCAGTGGGTGTTCAAGGCCAGCCAATGCGTGTGGCCAGACGGGCTCGTGGCCGCTGCTGGCCAATGCAGCTGCCCAGAAATTTCGACAATCGCTCGAACCCCGGCAGGCCTTTCCTCCTGTTTCTGTGGGAGACGTTTCAGAGAACGATTGGAACTGGCAAACCACAAGGATGTAAAATTAAAAGCAAGTCATGAAAGATCATCTTGCCTGAGCGTATTTGCTATGACAGCACCCACTGGTGTACAGGAGGCCACGGCCAATCGGGATCTGGCCACTGCCTGTTCTAGTCCTCTTTGTTCCAGGAAAGGAGCGAAGAGCCTGCGCTGGCTGGGATTTGCTTCTCATGGCCTTCCTCTTCTCTGGTCCCCGTGGTGGCCAGTCCTGGATCGGGGCAGCAGTGGGGGCTCGTCCAAGACACCGAAGGGGGTCCAGCCCTTCGTCCAGGCGCAGGAAACTCAGAAGCAGCACCAGTTTGGCAAGTTGGGACCCCAGGGGTTGAGTAGGCTGTGGCAACTGGTGGGATCCAAGTGGACCAGGCCACACTTTGAACCGGAGGAGGCCACAAGCGGGCGTCAACAACCATTAATGAAAATATCTGGGGGAAGGACTTCTGCTAAGAATCATTCAAAACATGTACATTTACCACCATTAAAGAAAATTAGGAAAAGACCACGTGGTTCAGAATTACACAAATGCAAGAGTAGGGTAATGCCTTTATTGAACAACTAAAAAAGCCCCAGACAAATTGAAAGCTTTCGTGGGTAAATATCCCACTTCCTCAGACTGGGCAGAAGAAAATTATAGGTACTCTTGGTCAGAATCCCAAAACTTCATGGTAAAGGGGAGCTAAAGTAAGATGAAACCACCCTTCCCATCTCATTTTAACTCACCTCATGCAGACAGAGTCAGCATGAGCCTATGCCATGATATTTTGGGTCTCTGACCTACAGTACCTTTAATTTTTCCTGTACTAACTAACTAACTAACTAACTAACTAACTAACTAACTAACTAACTAACTAACTAACTAACTAACTAACTATCTATCTATCTATCTATCTATCTATCTATCTATCATATACTGCCCATCTTGTCAAGGGTGACTCTAGGCAGTTAACAACATGACTATGGTGCAAAGCCTGAGGAAGTGGGACATTTACCCATGAAAGAGTAAGCATCCCCAGTATTATTTGGTTTCTTATTTATCGCCGGGCCTCCTGCTTGGTTTGCTTGTTCTGTGGAGGGCTGCATTCTCTTGGGGGTGACCTGGGGGGGGGGCTGCTGCTGCTGCCAGTGGGCAGAGCCATGGGCCACCCACATGTCAGGCCAGAGCCAAAGGGGGCTGGGTGAGGTCTCTCTGCTCTCCTTCCCTCCCTTGAGCAAGTGGGGAAGGGGAGAAATTAGCCCTTCATTTGCCGATGTCTTGAGGAATGGCCTGTGGGTGCCCTCCCTTGACTCACAGGGATCCCATGGGCCCTTGTATCGTTATCCTTGGGTCCACTGAATCATTCAGCCCTTTCTGTGATGCCTTGTCCTGCCCAGCTTAGCATTTTTTTGAACTTGTCATGTTTTTCCAGCAGGAGGAGAAAACTCGCAGTTATTCAGAGTCCGTCCCTCTGGGCAGCTGCATACGGTTTGTGCAAAACTCCTGAAAGTTTCAGAACCATCCAAAGAACAACGGGTGCAAGTCTTCCATCTTGGTGCTTTCTGGGGAATGGGGAGACAGTCCTCTAACAGACCTTGCAGGAGCACACCTTGGACATCCAGGGATGTGGCTTCTTTTGATCTGCAGAACAAAAAGAATAAGTGTATTTTTGAGCTTCTGATCACTTCTGCACTTAATCCCCCCCCTCTCTCAAAGAGACATGGAAACAAAATGTATGGTTATTTCTGTTCTGCAAATCAAATATGGTGTGGGGTGGAGTGAGGAGGTGGAGCTTGTGCGATTGGTAATGAACTTCTTCCTTCCTCCCTTCCTCTGTGCCCTCAGTCCCTATTCTTGCCCCCCCCATGGCCCTGCAGCAACCCCTCCTGTGGCTGAGGGGGTGCCTGTGAGGGCCACGAAACCCTTCAGACCCTCAGACCTCCCTTCGGGGCAGCGTTCAACCGGCACCGTCCTGCTCAATGAGGAAGGGGGGGGGGGCTGCCGAGCTCCTGCCTGCCATCGAAGGCAGCTGCTCTTGTCCAGCCTCCCTTCGGCCCAGCCGGCCCAGGCGGGAGATGCCAACAGCCGCACGGGGTGCGAAACCTCAAAGGACAGGAAGCCGTTTTTCTCCCTTTGTCCAGGCGTCATTGGCCACCAGCTTATCCCCCTCCCCACAACCTCAAGCTCAAAGCCCCCCCAGTGGCCCCCCCATCCCTGGCAGACCCTCTGTTTCCTTCACACATGCCTGTCCATTTACGCCTGTCCACAGATCAATAGGAGCCATTCTTGGGGAAATACGATGTTGCCATGACAACCAAGCCACAAATTCTCTGTGGGAAGCCCTGAAACCCGTAGTAGAGAACTCTCTGGAGGGCTCCCAACCTATGAGGCAAGTTTCTTAAAATGCAAGAATAGACAAAAGCTGGAGAAATTCGTGGCTTCCTGCAAAGGCAACAGAGCTGCAGGCCAGGCGGGCCCTTGCCTGACCAGGGGAACATGGGCTTCCTAATCCTCCCCCCCACACACACTTGAGCTCTTATCTGCACCTTCTCTACTGGATGCTTCACATTTCAAACCCCCACCCCCACCCATAAGAGAGAGAGAGCGAGAGAGCGAGCGAGAGAGAGAGCGCAGGTCCCATTTCATGATCCACTCCCTGGATGTTCCAAGACAAAATATCCGTGGGAAAGGGTCAGGTGTCGGCCTCCTTTCTCTGCCACTCTGTAAGGCCGCCCAAGGATCTTTGTCTTAAAACAGTGGCAAGCGTGAGATGCAGGCTGGCTGCTCACCGTGGACTGACCATCGAGCCGGCTCTTGTCCGGCAGCCCCTCCACCTTCACCTCGGCTGCCACTCACTCCCCCCCCCGGGGAGAATCCCTTGCCTGGAATCTAATTGTGTGGCCAAGGGGGGGCGGGCAGCAGGGAGGCCCTGAGATGGCTTTAGGGACCTGACATGGATTCTAGGCTGCTGCACGTTTCACTGAAAATTAAATCTCCGCCACACTCCTGGGGGAAGGATCGGGGGGGGGTGCGTGGCAGCTGCCCCTGGCAGAGCAGGTGGGCAGGGCAGCTCCAGCTGGAGAGGTCTGCACCAAGCAGATAGACACCAGAGAGGAGGGATTTTTAAAAAAAGATAAACAGGTCATCATGCAAAGAAACAGGAGGGAAAAAGCCAAGCAAACCCAAAGGAGGCTTCATTTCTACATGAAGGAAAAGAGCCAAGCTCCCTGCGCTTCGCTCTGCACAGGTTTGCAGGATTAGTTTTCCAAAAGCGAGGTCAGCCCTCTTTCCATCAAAGAGGGCAGGGATTCACCCTGGTCTTTGGGGCCCTGCAAGGTTCACCCTGTCTTTCTGTTTACCGAGCCATCAATCAAAACAAATCTATTACAATATGAAATAAAAGAATCACAATGTAAGAAATCGTGAACTGTGTGATTTGCTCTGCAGCAAGAACATTTCCCAGCCAAAAAGAGGACAGCAATTTGGTGGGAAAGAATGATGCAAGTCTCCCTTTAATGAAACACCTTCGTATCTTTTCTGAAACATGGGGGACCCTGTTTTCTGGCTACTACCAGGCACCATCTTACACACATCTGCTCAGGAGTCAAACCCACGGGTTTCCATGGGCTTCCTGTCCAACGATGGCTTGGCTCCCCAGCAGGGCCGTTCCCCCCACCCCAGCACTGCTGCCTCATCCTTCCGACCAGTCTTGTACTTTTCCGATCGCACGCGCTGGGGGTGGGCATGCTTCCCCACCTCCTGGGAGGCAGCCTCCCTGGCACGGGTGGCCAAACAGGTGCCTAGGGGATGGCTCTCCTCCCTTGGTGCAGCTCCACCCTCACCAGCCAATTTAAAGAGCAAACCTACGTGAAGCGCTGAGAACTGACAGGCAGGGGCAAGGCCAGGTCATCAGGGCCAGGCAAAAGCAGGGCCGTTCCACTGGGTAAAAAAAGAAAGCTTCTATTCCACCAGTCTGTGTGTCTAAGAAGTAACAAGACCGGTTCTTCACTTGCATTGGAAAACTCCCTCCTAAGCCAGTGCCTCCGACAGAGGCTCACCTTGCATTTCACGTGACAGTAGTGCTGGCATGCCTGTATCCACATTATTTAACACTAAAGCTGCTACTATATAAGAGAAACTTTATTTTCTAAAAGTTAAATAATAAAAGCACCCAACTTGATTTTGAAAAATGAATTTTTTTTAAAAAAAACCATTAACATGTATTTATCCTATTTGTAAATTCTTCAAAAAATATATTTACCCAGCGATACTTCCTTGTCCTTGGACGGAACAATGTTTTCCACATGATGTCTCAGAACCTAATCTTTCTTCATGGCCCAAATATTGTCCAAGAGGTTTTATCTAGAATTGATGGTCACCCTGAGCTTGTTTGATCAGCCCTGAGGTTGTCCGGCCCCAGAGTTCGCAGCTAGGCAGGGAAGCAGTGCTGGGTTCTGAGCCTCTGAGGCAGGGCTTCACCTGGCCATGGGTGACTCTATTGGTAGGGTTAATTTTCAGCTCACTGAAGCAGCCACCCCTCCTTGCCCTTGCCACACCGTGGCTCCCCCAGGGCCACATCTGGACGGTCTCACCTGGATAGTCTGGCTCCTCCAAGACCTGCCTCTTGGCCATGTCCCCTCCTTCTTGGGCAGGCAATATACAGCTGTCCCCCTGGGCTGGGCTGGCAGCACCTGCAAAGAAGCAGAGCAGGAATACTCTGAGGTGGTGGTGGTGGTGGTTTTCCTCTTTTTCTGACATCTAGTGATTAGTTCCAAGTGAAGCAGATTCACCGAATCAACTGTACTTCTGTTGAGTGCTAACTTAACAAATCATATTCACTCCATGGGTCTTTTCTAACCAATAATTTCCAACCGGGTTTACACACACACACACACACACACACACATCCTGGCTGAAATCCTGTTGGGACAACTTCGCAGGTGCAAGGCAGATGATGTCATCAATCACACCTTTTTACTACTAATTCACTAATTCAAAGTTTCTGTTCCCTTTCTGCCTCCTCAAGTCCTGAGGCTCTCTTGGGGTCCCTTTCCTGGGGAAACCTTTGTGAGCCTTGAGGAGGAGTGAACTCTTTACAATCCAGACATTGCCTCCTGATTTTGAAGTGTTTTTAATTGTGTATTACCAATAATGCTCGCTTGCCCATGCTTGTCTTAGACCTTTTCAAACAGAGGCAGGAATTAGAGTACTGTATCTTGGAATGAGGACATAACAAACCATCAGCACCACGGAGAGCACCGCAGCCCTCCCTCTCGCTTTGCAGGGTGCAGTGAAAACAGCCACAGGCCCCTGCGTGGGATGCACAGAACACAAAGGCATACATTATTTCCCGAAATCCAAAACGGCCGCAGGTGTTGCTAAGAGGGCGGCAATTCTGCCTTGAGGGAAGGAGTCCCTCTCCCCAGCACCTAAAACTGGAGAAGGGAGTTCTGCTGAATGTTAGGTTTCACTGACATCAACCTTGAGTGACTCAGAGTTCAGGGGAAGTAGGTGAGCGACTCTTTCTCTTGTCAGTTTCAGCTCAGAAGCCACCTTGAGAGGCACCGAGCAATGACAGCCGGTGGCAAGCCTCCTGCGCCCCTGGAGCCACCTTGAGAGGAACAAGCCTCATGTGTCCGCCCGCAGTGACTCTCTACAAGACAGGCCATGACCG